CGAGTATACCATTGTCTGTAAATCTGCAAGTGGTAAAGTTAAAAGACTTGCATAAAGTCGAAGCATGATATAGATCAAAGCATTATTATATTGCATCTATAGTTTGACAATTATTTGCTTGCTTATCAGTACTTGCAAACTCCTGTAACGAAACACATCATCTTTCAACAACTCCAAACGATCATCTACGTTGTTTTTCGATTTTTTTTAAAAGCGGTTTCGTTCGCTTCGGTTAGTCGCTCTGCGGACGATTGATTTTTATTCGCTAATATTATATTACTGGCATGGTCGCGCGCAGACTTTTTATAACGCCAAATATGAAGCGCGACTCGTAAATTTTTATATCTTCATTTACCGTGTACTCGTTTGAAAGAGAAAAATGGCGATGGTTCAATGAAAATATAGCTTATTCGCTTCTCGGTCACACCAACAATAACGATTCAGTAGTACTTATGCTGTCGTTCGCATATAAAAGAGCATCATATACGTCCTTATTACATCTGTATTCATGCACTTTTATAGACAAGGTCCGTCTGTGACAGTTTAAAAATATGCAGCTCCGCGGAGCTATTTAATTAAATGTATCTCGCCGTCTCTCTGGAAAAACATCGCATATAACTCTCCGTGTCGCCACGCAGTATTTTTAACATAGATTTTATTTTATTTTTTTTTCCTTCTAATCAAGGCTATACGTATAGCGCACAGCTCACTGGGACGAAGTGAATCGAGGTCTTTTTTTCTTCTTCTTCTTTTTTCCATGCCTCGTGGGCAAAAATAGTTGCGAAATTTTCTACATTATTTATCGAGCCCTGTAATACAAATTCGATTTCCAGCTGAGCGAGTCCCAATATATAGCGTACAGATAGATATATTAGCCGCACGCAGTGTCGGCGGCGATCGCATTGAGATACTTATTTTGCACACCTCCCAATTCGTGTCTTGAATATATTTACGCAGCATCTAGATAATAACGCGCGAGTACTATTATCAGTTCGCGATACGATCGGTGTTTTCTTTTTTTTTTTTTTTTTTCGTGCTTATGCGGCGTAAGGTACCAATCATTTCTGCACTGCCTATGTGCACCGAGCGGCGCTGGGCTAATCGCATTTGTATATAAATATTATGCGCACACTGCGTGTATTATATATACGCCCGCGTAGGCGTCGCGGTGTTCTGTTGTAGGAGGATCGACGAAGGAGAGAAAAGTTTAGATTGATAATTATCGATTAAGAATCCGATTGAGTAATGTAGAGAAAGAAAAAAAAACGAACAATGAGCAATTATGTGAAAAAAATTCGTGCCTTTTGACACGTATCATCGAGGCAAGTCGACTTGACTCGGCGTCACTTGCTCCATAGACGTCGGATTGCGAACTGCTGCTGCTGCAGAAATCTCACTCACGCATGTACATCGTTGGCAATTAAACGAAGCGAGCAATTTATCACTCTCCCTCTCTTTCACCAATGAGTCTTTTCTCTCGAACTATCATCGTGCCGCATTTTCGACCTACAGCTAGTGTAATCTTCTTCTCTCGAAAAAGTCACGAGTAGTTATTGCGTAGGCAGCAGCTTTTCGTGATCGCTGCGATTGGAGGAGGCTGCGTCGTTGATACAAATCCATCATTAGTAAAATTGTTGTCAGTTTTCGAGCTACACGAGAAAGTTTTAGTCACGCGTAGCGCGCATTGTATCGGGCCATGGTTTTATTGAATCGGACATTTTTTTTACTCCATCGCTAAATCGACCCTTCTCTGTTCTGATTTCGAGTTGAGCTGTTTTCGCTTGAAAGCCAGATATAGTATATTTCTCAACGGGTGCACATATGGTTTTTTAGCAAAACGAGGGATTATAGCACGAGCCGAAGGCGAGTGCTGTAACGAGTTTTGTTAAAAAACCATATCTGCACCAGTTTGAGATAATATTTTTTCCTACGAGAGCCTAAAATTAGCGGCAAAGTTGCGTATTTTAGGTTAGAGTGGGGAAAAGAAGATTTCTATTTTCGTACATTATTATATTTACATGTGTTTTGAATTTTGATACAAGCCAATGTAATCGTTCGATAAGTTATAGTTCCATTGTGAATATACTTTCAAGTTCCGCCACTAGATGTCATGTTCAAATCCGCAAGTGAAAAATGTCAGTTTCTGAGATATTTAAAGTCGGATGAGGCTCTTTCTTAATATCCTTGTATGAGGTACCCTACCGAAAACATACATGCTGTATGTGGGGCAAATTTCCTGATATGAAGTGTCCTAGCGCTCTGCCGCACGGCATTTTTTGGCCAAATCACTCAATTTCTAACTCGCTGTAAAAGTATCAAAACGCCTCTCAAAAAAATAACTAACTAATGATTTCGATAGAAAATTTCCTCAGCTTTCCGATGGTGACATTAGATTTCCCATAATTTTCCGTTTGGCTCAGCGTGCGCAACTTTGAAAACGTCGCCGTGCGATCAAATCACGCGCGGTCGCGCTCGATTAGGAATTTTTGTTTATCCGACACAGGTGCGCGAGAAGCAGGCGTAAATAAGGCGATAAAAAGAAATACGCGTAAAGACGCGTCGTCGTTGTTGTTGTTGTTGTTGCTGCTGCGCGCAAGCGCATCTATACACTCGAATTTTTGGCTCTTAATCGAGTAATACTACGCGAAGTTTATTTTGGCGGACGCACTCGCTCGACGAATTCCACAATCGCCATTTGTGTGTATACAATGTTATACGCTCGCGACTTTTTGAGAATTTTCCAAAACACTCGCGAGCGCTCGCGAGAGAAAAATATAAAGCGAGGATGTAAGTGCGAGTAAATTACTTCTCACTCTTTTCTCTTGCTATATACCATATTGTACTTGGCGTGTCGCGCGCAAATATATATAATCACCGCGCCGTATTATAGCCGGTGGGGCTGCACACACACACATGTGTATACACGCACGAAAAATAAATTCCACCGCTTGCGCAGAGAGCTTATTTCTATTTCTGAAGAAAGTAACATAATAGGTGGGAAAGTCTCTCTCTCTCTCTCTCGAAACGATCATCTTCCGACGTAATAACGCGTACGTATACGCGTTGACTATTTGTGTTTTGCGCCGATATAGATAGTTGTATATGTGTGTATTTCATAGCGACTCGCACATAGATGTATTATAATATACAGTATATATTTTAAAATCCCCGAGATCGGGTTAATTTACTTAATCGAATCATCGTATACACACATATGTACAGACGTACAGACATATACGCGTATTTTTGTTCAAGCTCAGCGCGACGGCGTGAATCAAAATCCATGGTCTCGATCTCATTGGCTGCTCATACGTACGACATTGAGCTCCTAATGCACTTTTATGGCGAGGAATTTATATATATACGTGCGCCTCGAGCAATTTTCCTATGCAGCATTTGGACGTGACCTAGCGCGTATTTACAAAAGTCGATGCAAAGTTCGGATTATGTGTCGAGTCTTGTTTACGTATTTATCTGGCGACCAATGGAGGCCGTTTACCCGTTCTCGCTCGAAATTTATTCGGGCTTAAAAACAACAACAGCAACAAAACAAAAATTAATCAAAGCACCGTATAGCACATGAGAAATCGATGCGGCCATTGTAAATGCTAATCACCGAGTGATTGAAGAAGAAGAAGAAAGTTTAACGAGCGAGGAGCGTATTTTTTTTTCTTCTTCTTTTTTTATATTTATAGCTAACGCGACGCGGCGACGCAATATCCCCCCGACGACGACGACGACGACGACGTCAAGTGGCGGCGCAGTGACTTCCGATTGTGCCTGTGCGCGCGGACAGGGTGCGTAGGAAGAAGGCGTTAATGAAAACTTGATTAGCCCGAGCCGATGACAACGTCGCGACGCGACAAGTTCGATTTATAGCCTACTTCATTCCCTGCGCAGCAGCAGCAGTTCCTTGGCTCTTCGCTGCCCTTGAATTATGTATCGAGTGACGCGCGTACGTTCTCTCTCTCTCTCTCTCTCGTCGCTCCGCTTAGACAGAGACGGATTATTTCGTATTTTTACATTTTATTCCTTTATAATATAATTCAGAAAAATCAGGCGAATGAAAAATGAAAAATATATGTATGGGGAAACTCGCCGCCGAGCTGCACACGTGTGCAGGCCACGATCTTATATTTCTCTATCAGTGCGTGTACGCACTTTTCTCTGTCTCTCTCTCGATCCGTCTGCGCGCACGAAGATTTTCACCGACGATTGTGCGGTCGCATTGCGGTTGACGAGAGAATGTATGTATACGCGACGACGACGACGACGACACAATAAAAAAAAATAGAAAAAAAAATCAACGAGCGTGTAGACCGTTTTTTTTCAACTTTTTTTTGCCTTTTCCTCCGCTTCTTCTTCCTTCGCGCGCGGTGAGCTCGGTGGGTTGCGTCTTCATTATTCGCCATGGTGCGCGCAGCACCTCGTATATATACAGCATAGCCTTCTTTTCTCTTCGCTTTATAGAGTAATGCATAAGTATACTAACGTCGACGACGACGACGACGACGACGCGATTGTCACGCTCAGTTAAACCTCGAGAGATGCGAGAAATTCTATATAGCCCCCCTCGAATGGGTTACGGAATAATAGGACTACGACTCGTGTGCGCACGTGTATAGCATAAGAGAAATTAATTTCCCATTAGCTCGCGTTTTTTTTTTTTTTTCATTTTTGTTTGGAAACGATTCGTGGAAATGACAGCGATGAGCGATGAGGACAGATGCATATTAAAACTTGAAAAACCGCCCACACTTTCGTTATAAATATATGATTATCGATATTGCAAAACTATTATATTACATTCAATTTTATAACCAATCGTCCATCCTTTCGTTGCAGAACACGGCAATTCGGAGTTCCATCGGTCAGTGAGCCAGCCCCAGCGAGCCAGTGAACAGCAGCAGCGGGAGGAGGTCAACCGAGAGGAGAGAGACGTCGACAGAGAGAGATGGCCGACGTTGCGACGAAAACGAAGAGCATGAGCGTCGTAAGTAGCAACAACGTTGCCCTGAACGGCAAGACTAACAACTCGTCGCGAGACTTGAGCGTGTGTGGTTTGCAAACTACTAACAACGGCTTGACCATCAACAACGACAATAACGGCCTGAATAATCACGGCGACCTGCTGCTGAGCCACAATAACAAACTCGTGAGCTGCGTCGATCGCGACGACGACGAACAACACGACGACCGCGTCAACGAGGAGGACGACGACGATCATCTCGTCGTGATCGCGAACAACGCGAAGAACGAGCAAGACTCTCAGCAACAGCAGGACGACGACAAAAGCCTGCAGGAGATAATCGACAGCGAGCTCGCCCTGAGGATATCCGCGGCGAACAACGACACGGCCGCTGCGGACGACGATACCGAGGACGACGAGCCACTGCTCGAGGACGACATGGTGGTACAGCAGCAGCCTGAAATCACCAAGAGGATTATTCTTGAGCCTCGACGCGGGTCTTTGATCGACGAAAACGAGCAGTTCATAACGCACGAGATCGAGCATTATCGGCTGATAGCCGAGCCCTATCCCAATGCCCACGTCAGTCCCGACCCGAAGGATCCGCCAGATGTCGAGGACGTCGACGAGGACGAGGACGACGAAGTTTTCGAAATCGAGACGGAGACCACGACGACCGAGCCCACGACCACCACGGGTCCGTCTCTGCCGTCCGCCTACGAAGTGTCCAACGAGCTGCAGTTGAAAAACGACATCAATCACGAGAAGGAGGAGGACATCGGCAAGCAAGCCGAGGACGATCAGACCACCACCAACACCCTGAGCGATTTCTTAGTCACGGAAGAGACCACCGACGACAACAACTCGTCCAAGGGCGGTGGTCAATCGTCGATCGTCGCCACCGACAAGCTCTATCAGGACATCGACGAGCTCGTCGTCACGCCCAGCAGCAACTGCAGCAGCGGCAGCGGCAGCAGCAACGAGGACAAGAACAACGGACATCTGCTGACGGACGATCTGCTGCTCGACGAGATAACCGAGGACGACTCGTCCAAGTACAACGACAACGAGTTCAAGGATCTGTCGAGCGCCACCTTCATCGAGCACGAGATACCCGAGCCGATCTCGCTTAAAGAGGCCTCGGGGGTGGACGAGAAGTCCTGCTCGTTTTACGAGACCGAGGCCAGAAGCCCCGAGCCGACCAGCGTGGACAACGACGACGACGAGAGCAACAGTAGTCTGTCGATCAGCAATATACCGACGACTACGACGCAGACCGTGTCCACCGACGTGACGGATTTCAAGGACAACAACACCAACACCACCACCACCAAGAGCTCCGATTGGCTCGACGATCATCATCGCCACGTCGACAAGGAATTATCACCCGTGTCGATCGTCGTCACGCAAGCCGCGGAGGAGCCGCAGCAGCAGCCGCAGAGCTTGCAGAGCTTGCCGAGCTTGCACGATCAGTGCAGCGTGGGCAGCACCCCCTACGACAGCGGCAACTTTTACAGCCAGGAGGGCAAGTTCGAGAATTATCTCGAGAAGAGCGGCAGCCGACTGCTGGAGGAGGACGACGGCGGCGATCTGGCTCCGCTCGCGACTCCCGACGAGATCTCGGAGATTTCCAATGCCGCCTCTAACGATGTGAGTTTGCGCTTTGCTTCTTTGTTTTTTTTTTTTGCACATCGATATAATGGATCGTTATAGATATCGATTTTCTTTTGATCGAATATTATCATCGGCGGACTCGTACGTATTCAAATGTTTTGACATTTTCAGTATTGTGTGTCGTTTGTTTTTGAGTTTTCTTTTATTTCAATTTATTTGTTTATTTTCTTTTTTTTTTGGTTTTTAAATTTTTGCTCGACTCGCTAACGCCGTGTTTTCTTTACTAAAAAATAACAATGAACATCAACTATATTATATAATTATATATATTTCATAAGGACGAAAGTGCACATACGTGTTTGCGATGAATAAAACGACTTTAAAATTTTTTAAAATACATGGCCATTAATCGATTTATCTTTGGCTAATTTTCTTATACAGTTATGTTAGAAATATTAAGCGCATTTTGAGATACACATGAACCTGAAAATGACAATTTATCTTTTTCAAAAATTTAGCCTAGTTTTCAACCGCAAATAATATATACGATGTTAGCCTCAACCGCTAGATGGCGAGTACCTTCATTTTCAAATCTGCAAGTGGCAAAGTGAAAATATTTGTATAAAAGTCCCTTAATTGTATCAAATTGTATCGTCAATTGTATAGTTCACGTTGAAATGAGTAAAATTTGAACACTGATTTTCTCTCTTCATCGACCAACCATCAACCCCATATTGCTTCCTCATAGAGGAAGCTTTGTGATGGGCTCCATTTCGGCTTTTTTATAGAGTAATCGTAGGGTATATTTAATGATATTTCTATATACTAGATCGAATTTCTGACACATGTTGGTATGTATGTGTGTGTGTGTGTGTGTGTGTGTGTGTGTGTGTGTGTGTGTGTGTGT